CTCCTCTTTTCTCTCTCTCTCCCTCTCTCTCTCTCCTCTCTCTCTTTCCTCTTTTCTCTCTCTTCTCTTTCTCTTCTCTCTCTCACTATCCCCCCTCCTCTTTCTCTCTCCCTCCTTCCTCTCTCTCCCCCCCGTCTCCTTCTCTCTCTCCCCCCTCTTCTCTTTCTCCCTCCCTCCTCCTCCTCCTCCTTCTCTCTCTCCCCTTGTTCTCTCTCTGTTTGTCTCTCTCCCCTCGTTCTCTCTCTTTCCTCTTTTCTCTCTCTTCTCTCCTCTTTCTGTCTTTCCTCTTTTCTCTCTCTTCTCTCTCTCCTCTCCTTCTCTTCTCTCTCTCTCTCCCCTCGTTCTCTCTCTCTCTCTGTGTCTCTCTCTCTGTCTCTCCCCTTATTCTCTCTCTCTCTCTGTCCCCCCCCCATTCTTTCTCTCTCTCTCCTCTCTCACTCTCTCTGGCTTTGTACCTGTTCCTGTCTTAGTCCCTTTCTCAATCCGTTCCCGTCTGTTCCTGCTTCTCTCTCTGTCTCTCTGAATCTCCCCGTATTGCTCTCTCATTCTCACAGGCTCTCATCCACTCTCCGCCCTCCACCCCCTTCACTAAGACCCTCAGGGCAGAAACACAGGCCAGTAAAGCCCAAAGAATTTTGTGAATGAGCCCCCATCCCCGACTCTAGCCGGGCATGGCCAGTCCCCCTTCCCTCCATTCGTTCAGTGGGGGAAGCCCCGCCCTAGTGGGAAGGACTAGTTTGAATCAAGCCTCCGAGATTACAAGCCTCCAGTAGATGCCCGTGGACCCTGGAGCCAGAACCACCTGTTCGAGGGGACAGCAAAATCCAGGGAACCAGACACACCCCTCTCTCCTTGCGGCTGCCTGGGACAAGGGGACTCTAGTGGTACCTTCCTGGAAACATCTATCCAGACTTTCTGAGCCAGAAGGTACCTCCTGGAGTGTCCAAACTGCCCATTTCACAGAGGAGGAAACTGAGGCCCAGAGATAGAGAAGTGACTTGCCTATGGTCGCACAGTGAATCCGGGGTAGAACACAAGATTTCTGGATGTGAAGTCTTTAGGGAACCAGGGCCAGGGAGGAGTCTGAGAGCCTGAACTAGGGCTACTCAGGGCCTGATCTCCATCCTGTCTTGAGCTTGACATCTTCCACAACTGGCTGGGACATGGAGCATCAGCGAAGGGCATCCAGGTCGTGTGGCCTGGTCAGCGAGCAAGTGTGAGCCAACCACCTCTCTACCATGCCCCCGGGGCCCTGGCTTTGCTTGGCCTTGCTCCTTGCAGCCCGGGCCCAGAGCTCCTGGGGTCCGTGGCCCAGCAGGGCCCAGCCCCCGTGGCCCAGCGACCTCAGCATTAGCATCAGCAGTGCCCGTCACGCTCGGAGCTACCATCACCTGGAAGGTGACGTTCGATGGCGAAGGCTCTACTCATCCACCCACTTCTTCTTGCACATTGGGCCCAGTGGCAGGGTCGAAGGCACACGGCAGCCCCACTGCCCCAACAGTGAGTAGGGCAGCATGGAGACAGAGGCCTGGCCTGGATGGGGTAGCCAGTCCCAAATTACAGGAGGGCCAGAGGTTTCCAGGGATGCTGGAGAGTCCTAGAAAAGCATGAATAAGAGGGACCCAATCCAGAAGGGAAGAGAGAACTGGAGGAAGGGACCCAAGGAAATGTCAGTGTTTGGCCTGAGGAAGGGGGTGGGGGGGTCCCACCAAGAGCAGGACCACAGAAGCCCTGAGGGGCAGCCAGAAGATAGCCCAAGTCAAAAGATGGAGATGCTTTTTTTCTAAGTCATTAGTGGGTAGGTGCCTTCCACCATCATATATTTTTAGGCTGCCCAATCTAGAAAGAGACCTTTTTGTGGAGGAGGAAACTGAGGCTGAAAAGAGAAAGAATTTGTCCAAAGTTAAACAGACAACTGTGGGCTAGAACTCCGCTCTTCTGGATCCCAGTCTTTCCCTGTCCCCATGGGGCAGAGGGGGCAAGGTGTCCTTGTTCTCAGTGATGGTGACCTTGTTGCCATCCTGACCTTATCTGTAGACTTTAGAGGGTAGAAGGACCAGTTCCTGAAGTGTGAACTGGAGAGAGAAAGAAGGAGGCCTTTAGGGCCCCAACTGTCTTTGGGGTGGATAGGGGAGGGACAGACACTCACAGCCAGTAGCCCTAGATTGGGGGATCTGAGTCCCCCCAACACTGGACTCCAGGCTAATCACCTGCTGCTGTGTTTAATAAGAGCCCAGTGAGTAATCACCGTAATTAAGGAGGATAATAACCCTCTGCCCTTCCCTCGCCCCTTTCATCTGGGGATCTCAAAGCACTCATTAGCCCATGTGCCTCCCTGGGTGAGGACAGAGGACAGGGGCAAGTTGCTTACCAGATGACTCAGTGGTGGGCTCCATGGCTGGCACCCAAGCATCTGGCTTCCCTTGGATGGAGGAGTCAACATTCTGAGAGGTCCCTTCCTAGGGAACATCTGTGATGTTCTGTGAACTTTCCCTGACAACAGGCTCCATTTCCTTTTCCTAAGAAGGGAGAGAGGGCAAAGAGGACACTTTAGTACCAGCAAAACTGAGTGTCAAGGTCACTGGTATCTTGATACCGCAGGGTGGGGCTGGGTGTGTATGAGGCAGAGATGGAGAGAGAGATCTCAGGCCAGGAATGGAGGAAGGGTCCCTTGAGGAAAGTCTTCCACCAGCTACCTCTTCCCCAAAGAGACTCAGAATTTGAGAGCTGATAAGGATGGCTCATGGCTTCAGAGCTGGAAAGGACATTAGAAATATTGTCTGGTCCAATCTCATTTTACAGATGGGGAAAACTGAGACCTAAAGAAAGGAAGTGAAATCTCTAGCTAGTGAGTGCATGAACCAGCTCTAACTCTAAAATCAGGGCCCTTTTCAACAGTGCATCAGAGTGGGAAAGTTCCTTAGAGACAAGCCAGTCCCCACTTCTCATTTCACAGACACAGAATCCAAAGACCAGGGTTTGAATCCTTACCCCACCACTTAACTAGGTGAGTCTGGGCAAATTAACTTGACAGAAAAATGCAGGGTATTTCAGATGACTGTGAAGTGAGGCCAATGTGGCTGAAGCAAAGGGTCTATGTATAAAAACTCTACAGGGAAATAGAGCAGAAGAGAAAAAAAAAAAGATGGATTAGAGACCAGTCTTGGAGGACCTAAAATTTTCCACTTCGGACTTTCTCCTGCGGGTTGTGGAGTCTCTGGAGAGATGCCTGGGAGCTTTCGGAAGACAACTCTGGTGTGTTGTACTAAAGAGATTCAACAGCATGAAAGCAGAGTTAGGGAAACAAAAAAGTCCAGGCCAAAGGGGACTTGGGTCTGAAATAGGGTCCAAGTGACTTTGAGGAATCTTCTATTAGAGATTTGTCCCTTGGCCCCAGTTCTAGACAGCCATCTATCTCCTGAATGTCTGCCATTGCCCACAAGGACAATCAGATCATTGAGTGTGGATGGCTCAAAGCAGGCCTTTCCTCCTGCTGGTGGTGGTGGCTGCTATCTACTGATGGGGGGGGGCAGATTTATGTCATTGCTAAGAGAGTCAGGAGACCCAAGTTTCAGTCTTCACTCTTCCTCCTCCCTGGCCTCAGTTTCTCCATCTCTGACATGTAGAGGTTGGACATGATGATCTCTAAGACTCCTTACAGATCTGATGCTCTCTTGAGGAATGGATAGGCTACCAAGTGCTCCCTCGGTCTCTACCCACCCAGGGTACCTACTTCATTCTCCCTTCATCCCCTCTCTCTGCTGGGATGGAAGACAGATTCTCTGGACCTGAGATAGGTGGCTGACGAGGTAGTGAGATAGAGCAGATAGAGGACAGAATTTGGAGTCGGGAATTCCTGGTTTCTAATGCTGCCTCAGATTCCTGCTAGCTGTGGGATCCTGAGCAAGTCATTTAACCTTTGGGCATCAGTTTCCTCATCTGTAAAATGAGGGGGTTGGACTCAATGACACCCCCACCCCCCAGACTCACACACAATGTCCCTTTTAGCTCTAAATCTATGGTTCTGTGTTAGATTTTGCCTAGCTGAATGAGCAGGGCTCCACTTGGAGCTTTTGGGTCAGAAGCCAGCTCTGGGGGCAGCTAGGTGGCACAGTGGATAGAGCTCTGGCCTTGGAGTCAGGAGGACCTGAGTTCAAATCCAGCCTCAGACACATGACACTTAATAGCTGTGTGACCCTGGGCAAGTCACTTAACCCCTATTGCCTCACCAAAAAAAAAAAAGAAGCCAGCCCTGAAGGTGTGTTGACATGTATATGTGGGGGAAGCCCCAGTTTGTGAAAGCTAAGGAATGACCCCATTCTACAGCAAAACTGTTGAGTCTTGGGGATTGCCAGGGAGGTGGGAGATAAGGTTGGATAGGCAGATAGATGGAAGGTTATACAAGGCCTTGAATGCCAGTCTGACAAGTTGGGACTTTTTCCTGTTGGTAATGGGGAGCCATGGAAAATGTGTGAACTGAGAAGAGCTAGAGAATCACAAAACACTAAATATTATCTGGGAAGGACTTCCAAATATAGAATAGAAACTGTCATCACATGAAGAGCCCTTAGAATACAGAGCTGAGAGGGTCCTGAGAACACAGGTTGTCAGAGATGCGCGGACCCTAAGAACATGGAATGGCAGGGCTGGGAGGACCCTTAGAACATGGAATGGCAGGGCTGGAAGGGCCCTTAGGATACAGGATGTCAGAGCTGGGAGAGACCTTAGGACACAGGATGTCAGAG